TACTTGAGGGGCAGAGGTAAGAGATCTTGAGTTTAAAGTCAGTGTGAGGAAAGTTAGACTCTATCTAAAAGATAAAATACAAACAAAAGGGCTGGGGTGTGGCTCCAGAGCAGAACACATGCCTAGAAAGTGAAAGGCCCTGGGTTTAATCCCCCCAAAGAAAAATAAGTATGTTCTAACAGGTGATAGATTGTATAATTCTGTTTTGAAATGGTGATTTTACAGAGGGGGGGAAATTTTGAAGAATTCTAGAAAATAAAGTGTTTTCTAGAAATAGTCCTGAGGCTCTTTGGCCATGCCTGCTGCTGAATTTGACAGTTCCTGAAGGTTCCTCAGCAGACACGAGTCAAGGCTTGGAGTATGAATGGGACCCAGTCAGATGGTGGACTTTTTGTCTCTCTAGGCTACACAGTGTTTTAAAGATACTAAGTCAGCATTTCACAATTAGGAGATGTCTAGCGTCTCTTGAAAATATGAAAGTTACTATCATATGAGCTCATGTTAACTCTGGTGATGCCAAGTGGTTACTGTCCCACTGGGTAGGGATTTCCCTAACAGTCTATCGGTGAAATAGTCACTTATCTATCTGATTGTCATATAGAACATAGGTAGGTCATAATAGAGGAAGGAAGAAATTTACCACAGTGCCTTAGCACTGGAGAGGAAAAAGGAAGGAAAGGGAGAGAAGAGAAGAAAGAAGTGCATACCAGACAGCTGCACACCCATTAGGAATCCTTCTTTGCTGTCTCCAGGGTGACATCCCAGCAGAGAATCAGCAAAAAAGCTATTCACATTACTCAACAAACCCCACTAGGTTGGCTCAATATGAAAATAAGAAGGAAAATTCTCTAAATGGACCAATGTCTCTGATCAAGGTTGGTTTAGTTGAATTAAGGAAAATGCTGTGAGGTTTTCTTCCATTTCCCATAAACCAAGGGGTGGGCAACCCTGTATCTTCTTTTTTGAGATTCTGGTTAATCATGGGACATATTGTTCCAACCCCCTCCCCGCCAAAAAAAAGCTTTGCTAGTTGTGCATTGCATAATTCCAGAAAAAAAAAAAGGAAAAAAAAAATACCCAAGGTCTTTCTCGAGGAGTGCTCCCTATACCACATGAGTGGTTCCCTAGTTTCCTTCAGGTTCTAGTTCAAAGGCCAACTTTGATGTGAAAACTTTCCCGACCTCACTACTGACTTTTCAGTCCCACCCTAAATTTTCTTATCTTTGACAGTCTCCATTCTCCTTCACCATTTCATTCTTCCCTGTGGCTCTTATCACTGCATAACATACAACACATTTTACTTGCATTTCTTTGTTTGCCTCCCTCAATAGAACAGAGCAGTCTAGAAATTTTCTTAGTAGGTACTCAAATTATCCCCAACAAATGACTAAACTCTCAGTCCTATTCTTAGAGTACAGGGTCCTGGCTTTCAGCAGGACCTGTGGTTCTCGAGTCACATTTCATAATTGCTATCCTTCATTATACTAGTAGGAGTGTATTTTCAAGTTCTATATCATTCATTGCATAATTTATATGGGCCATAGGTCTTTACGTAATTCCTGTGAGCCTTATCACTACATAATTTACTATAGTAATTAAAATGAACAGGAGTAATCTGCATAAACATACTTGCACACGTTTACAGGACCACAGAAGGAAATATGTGTGCTTGCATGTGTGATGACAGAGCTAACTGTTCTTCATTTTGGTGCTCATACCTCCTGCTATAAGTGCCACATGTGTGATTTTTCTCTCAATTATGTTTTACAGCTTATAAAAACACTTTCTTCATTTTGTCCCTTATAAAGCAAAGTGGTTGGATTTTACTGGATGTTTTTATTGAAACAAAACCCAAGGGGGAATATATTAAACTGTTTAACACAGTTGAAGAGAGATCTGAGAATGGGCTTTCTGATGGAAGGGCAGATTACAAAATTACTCACAGCTCCTAATCTGACACCAGGGGCAGAACACCCCACACGTATAAATGAAGCCTGTGTCTTGTTTTTTGTTGTTGTTGTTTGTTTTGTATGTTTTACTACAGAAAGAGAAAGATCATGTAGGATGAGAAAGAAAGAGAGAGAGAGAGAGAGCGCAACTCTAGGGACTAGAACTGTAACCTTTCTCACTTGTTACAACCTACACATCAGTGGGAGACTCTTCCAAGAACTTCCTTGGTTGATGGCTAGGAGGACAGTAAACTGCAGAGGTCTAGGCTGAAGCTCAGTTTCCTTGTCTATAACATGGGACAGGTTAAGACATCAATATTAAATACACCCAGCTTGTATATCAGAAAGATGAAATATGCACAGCAGCTTGAACATTTTCAGGTCTTTAGGTTCCAATCTTTTGATTTTCAAAAAATTCTATTATTTAACAGCACATGGGATGATTTCTAACATCCTTCTCATATAATATTCCTTTAATAATTATGGATCTGGGTTCCATTTCATATGTGTGACATCTGCCTGCATAAGTGGATTGTTAAGTGTTCAAAGCAGAAATCTTGTTTCTTTCTTTAAAAAAAATATTATTCTAGCACCCAGCACATATGATGCTCAAAGTACAGTCCTTTTCTGTTCTGAGTGAGGCAAATGCGGGCCTGGCAGCAGCTCAGTGTCTGTTAAGAACACAGAGTCAAAGTGATCCTGAATTGATATTAGTCACTGTACGTATGGCTTACTACTAAGAGGTGACTGTTTTCCACTGAGAAAAGCCCATGAAGAAACTCTGCCCTGAGGGCTCCATGGCAAAGACAGGAGTTTCAACATCCACCCACCAGGACAAGGAAGTTAATTCCCTGGCATGGGAGTTTCTGCATGTATTTTCTTCCCCTAAGGGAGTGAAAGAAGGAAATCAGGTGTCCCATAAACAAACTCAGTGACCAATGGAAATCCTAGGGTCAGGGAAAAGAGACAAAGACAGCTCTGATGAGAACTACTAAGCTTAATGACAGTGAAGAAGAAACTATAAACCAGCATGGAGATATAGGGACACAGGGGTTGGAAGCAGGTGTGAGCAAGCCAAGGGCAAGGGATGAGGAATAAGACTCAGAGACTGGAAGCAATGTGAATGTGTGAGGAGCGGAGCCTCATCATGAGTGTGTCACCATATGGTAGCAATTGGTGACCACCACAAGAGAGGATGTCAGCCTTTCTGAGTTATATACTTTTTTTTGAGACGATCATATTTGAGAAAAAGTTTGAGGCTATCATATAAATTTTCAAAGGAGAAATTAGACTAATTCTATTTAGAACCATTTATTTTTATCAACAGTTTTAGAAACTGATTTTTGAAATGTGTTTCTTAATCTAACCTTCATGAAAACAATTTTTTAAAAAAATTAAGATTAATGTGGGGCATATGCTTATACAGTCTTAAAAGGAACTTATAAATTGCAGGTATTTCTCCTGCTTAGTAAATTGATATTTTTCTCTTATTGTAGGTTTAAAAGTAGTGAAAGTATTAGTTAAGAGCTTTCATCTATTGGCTATGGTTAATCTGGTATGTTTATATCAGTCAAATAAAACCTCATCCTCTCACTCCTAAAGCATGTAGTGTACATCTACAGTAAACTCCTATTGCAAATTATCAAGAACAAAGCAATCTGTAGAAAAGCAATAGTTGGCATCTTATCCTCTCTATGCCATACATAAATCTCATCATGTTAAAAGCAAAACATGTTTAAGCTAATACTATTGGCTAATGAACTGTTAAGTTTGAAAACTAAACACAAATTTTTAAACACTGGTATATTTTATAGGCAATCAGACACACTTTTGGTACTATGAAAATTTCTTCTGAATGATGTAAATTTAACTTGTGTTATTAATCAGTTCCAAAAGAATAAACATTGAATACACCGCAGGCTTGCAAAGATTGGGACCGAAGCCCCTGGTTTCTGTTCCAATATGGAAGTTTACACGTTCAAAACAAAGCCCAAAGAGCTTCCAGCTGGAAAGGAAAGCTATATACCTGTAAATAATCCAAGCACCATTTACACTGTTCACATAAAAGCACAATTTATGTCCCAGTAGCGAAGAAAAACGTGATCTACAACATTTTCAGATCATCTTCATGCAGAAAAAATTCATTAGTCAGCTATAATAGTTTAGCTGTACAGGAAAATATTGTTTTTCTGAATCCATTTGCATAGCAATGTGCATGTGTCTGGCTGATGGAAGCGACAGAATAAACCTCCACCCAACATTACAAAATGTGAACAGTCTTCTTAAAATTCAGTCTATATGCTCGCCAGTGTCAGTTTTTACAATCTTCTCATATTTACGGACCATTTTAACTTGGCAATTAAAGTATCCTGATTATTTTGCCTAAGGGAGTTGACAATATTTCATTCTGCCCAAGAGCTCCTTTGAACGTAAACCTGTGATAAGGAAAAATCCAGTGGGCAACTATTCATGCGTGAGCCCCAGGAACCCTCCCCAACTGCCAAATTAAAACATAACTGCTCTTTTAAAACATAAGAGGTAGGAAATGGGAATCCACACTTTGGGGTAAAGGCTGCATTGTACTTTCATTGGTGGTTTAATTATTGGATCAGCCCCCTTAGTAGCCTGCCTGTTGACCTCTGGTTGTAATCTAGTTCACCTCCACAGAGCCCCAGCAAAGAGATAAGATCCGATTGAAAATGATGGATCACAAGCCCTGTGCGTTTGCCAGAAATAAAGGATTCATACCAAACACCTGCCCCTTGGAAAGACCCCCACACAGTACAGATAAAGCAGGGCTGGGAACAAGGAAATGGCTCGCTGGCTCAAACCTGGCAGGCGCATCACCCTGGACAGGGTGATGGATCCCTTTTGTAAGGGCTGAGTCAGATCGCAGCCCTGAAACTTGCTGGAATATACACTGCCCCAGCGTGCCTCTCCCCGAGTCACACAGGTGGCCGTCGGAAACAACGCCCTAAAGCGACAAGCCGAATGCTAGCTTCCACCCCCCCCCAATCCCTTCAGTTTCGAAGCCCCCAAACTCGCACCCACCTCTGGAACAGCAGCCAGGTCTCTTAGGGGAACAAAGGAGGCAGCAGCGCTGGGAGAGGCTGGGGTGCAGGATGGGGAGGCGGCTGTAGTTTTATGTTGCTGTGTCCAGGACCGGGCGGTAAAGTCCGCGGCGTGGGGACCACCCGCGCACTCCGCGCCTCCCGCCTCCTAGCCGCGAGTCAGCTGTCGCCCGGCATCTGGCTCGTGCCCTCCTCCCCGCTCCGCATCTGGTCGCACAGTGCTCGGGGACGTCGCTGGCGGAGGCTCTCCGGGTCACCTGTGGCCGGGCCGAGCCCAGCGCCCCGCCCGCCCTGCAGCGGGCCGCGCTCCCTCCTCCCCCTCCCACCCGTGCGCTGGTCGGCGGTGACTCAGCCGGGCATCAGCGCGCGCGGCCCGGGCGCGTCCAGGCCACCGGACCGCGGCGCCCGCCGCCCCAGCACGTGTCTGTCGGTCTGTCTCACGCGCTGTCCGTCCGCCCCGGCCGCCGGGCCGTGGAGAGCTAAGGTGGGGACTTGGCACCACCCAGAGGGGGAAACCAGCCCCCGCCCTTCCTGCCGTCCGCGCCACTGGCCCCGCGGGGGTCGCGTTTCCTCCCGCCCCTCCCCCGCCCGCGACAAGGTGAAACTTTCTAGGTGGAGAAGTTTTCTCGCCCCGGCAGCGCACTCTCCTTCCCGGCTCCGGCAGTCTGAAGTTAGCAAAGCCGAGATCAGTGGGACCGAGTCTCCCCCTCCTGGTGCGGGCGCGGACAGGGCCACCCGCACGGTGCGCAGAGCGCAAAGGCGCCCCCCGCGTCCCCAGCGCAGGCCGCGGACAGGGCACCAGGCGCGGCCCCGGCTCTCCCGCGCCTCGGTAGCCGCCGGGCACTCACCTCGGTGGAGAGAGATTTGGGCACCTTCGAAACAAGGAGCTCATTGTCAGAGACGTGGTGGGAGTGGATGGGCGAATTGTCCCAGTGATTTCATTATGCAACCATTATCCCCTACTGTAATAACTGGATTGAGCCCCGAGCAGGCTTCACTTTCTCTAACTTTTTTTTTTTTTTTCATAGCCGGAAACAGGCTGATTAGGTAAGCAAATAGCAATGAACAAACCAACCTGAATAAAAGTTTCTTTTTTTGTTGTTATTTATTTATATTTGTAATTTTAAACTGATACCTAAAACATAAAAATTACACTAACAGGATACCCTGTTTTGTTCCAGCGTATGTATGCATTGCATAAGTTTAAATCAGGTGACGCTATTTCCTCAATCATCTACCATTTATTTCTTCATGGTGAAACCATGCAGTATCATTTCATCTAACTTTTGAGATTACAATATATTACTGTTCTCCGTAGTCACCCTCTTGTGCAATACTACACCAGAGCTTCTTACTCTTAACTGCACAGTTTAATTCTTTATTTTTATTGTTGTGCTGGATGTGGGTACATTGTAACATTTACATCTTACAATGTATCATATATATCATACTTGAAATCACGCCCCCCTCCACCTCTCTTCCTCATCCCCCACTCCCAAAAGTTTAATTCTTGAATGCTGAAATGTTATGAATTTAAAACAATGGGTTCGGGCCTTGGTGAATTGAATTAGGATTCATTTGTTAGGATTATTTATTTATTTAATTTCACATATCAGAATTGATCTACAACAGAAAATACTGAAAGGTAATAAGATCTAAGGAAGAACATTGCCTGTTAGAACTTGAGTTTTTCCAACTCTTATAAGGGCATATTTAATAAAGCCAAAGAATGGGGGTATGAGGATTGATTATTATCACCCCAGCTAACAGGCAGGTTCACGTACTGTTTACTAGAGGGAAAAGGAAAATACTGTAAGAACTTACAATATGCTAGGCACATCACCAGAAACTATTCAGAGGATTTCTTTCTTTTCTCTCTCTCTCTCTCTCTTTCTCTCCCCCTGTCTCTCTCTCCCTTCTTCCTCTCTCCCTCTTTCTTTCCCCTGCTGTCTTTTTATGACAACTGGGTTCGAACTCCAGGGCCTCACACTTGCTAGGGGCAGGCACTCTACCACTTGAGCCACACCCCTTACCTTACAGAATAATTTCAATTCTGAAAAGCCATTACCTCACCATTCCCCAATTTTATGGACAAGGAAGGTCCCCGTCACATTTTTGGAGTCCTGCACTGACCATTTTGCAGATGAAGGAGCAGACCCTAAGATTCCTAGGAGAATCACACAGTGTATACTGAGAGAGGGAAGCTGTCAGTGTCAGTGAGGTGTCCTCACAATATGCCAAGCCACCTCACCTGGGCAGGCCTAAACAACACAGCCCTACTGAAGATTTCCTGATACCAAGTGTCACAATTTAAGAAATTCAGTTTACACTAAGACACTAATTTACTGGTTAGATGGTACTAGATCTATCTATAGACAGATCAGTTGGTTTTGAGTTCTGTAACAAGTTTCAATAATAGGTGAATAAATGAGTTTATTCACACACAATACACGTACACATGTACACGTACACACACTCTTAGCCATAGTTGTCTAAGTGAATGATTAGAGTGCTGTTTCTATTTCCTGGTTTCCATAGCAATATGTTAACTGAATTTTTACATTGCATTATGTAGTTGCCTTAACAGGTTTTCTGAGTTTGAGTGCCATGATAAAAATATAAAAGGAAAAAATACAACTAAAGTTGTAGAAAGATCCAGAAAAGCCAGTGCAAACTGGAAAATAAAGTAGATTATAAATGCTGACTATTTATGATATATTTTTAGCACTGAACTTTCTTAATTTCTAGTTGCTAACAAATTTTGATACAGTTTTAAAACTGGATTGAAAATTGTCATTTTGACTTATTAACTGTAAATAAAGAGATAACAGTTATAAAAATAACCGAGAATGGGTATAGCTGAAAGAATCTGAGTGTGTGAACGTCAATGGTTAATTTTTAAATACTACTAAATCCGTTTGTTTGATCAGGAAAAGCACTGGTGATAATTTCATGGTTTTGAAAATGGGTGGTAGCAGACACTTTTAAGTAATTATAGCTCTACAACTTATTTCTGGTTGTGCAGCGAATTTTAACTGTTGCTGTTTAATTTTTCCTAGGACCCATGGCATGGGCGACACGACACACCATGATGAAGTTCTGTTGGTATTTTCCTAACCAAACCAAACCACTTGTGACTGATACTCTTGGCTAGCTAAGCCAGCACCTGTTCCCAACCACATTTTCCCTTCCTTCTACGAGGTGGAAAAAATAGTATTTTCTTTCCCAGACTCCTTTGTAGCCAGACATGGCCATATGATGTCATTCTGGCAACAAGGTGGAAGGTGAAATCTGAGGGAACATTTTAGAAAGGTTGTAGGTTCCTTATTAAAGGGACTTAAGAAACTGATGCCACACCTTTCTCCTTGCTTCTCCACCTCATATATGATGTCCAGTAGAGAGCTAGTCATTTTTCCATTGTGAAGGGAAAAGTTGACATTAATAATGCTGAGTTGCAGTGCATCAATGCCAGTAGATACCTGCTTCCATATTTCATGCTTTGTGGAAAAATACATAAGTATTTTTGTTATCTAGGGTCTCTGTCACCCAGAAAAACATTGCAAGTGGATATGCCCCTCCAAAGGGGAACAAGACCTCTCCAAGACTGAGTTTGCCTAGTTACTAAGAATTTGAGTTTTAGAGCCAGACAACCTGGAATTAAGCTACTCTCTGCTTCTTACGAGTGGATCATGGGCCAGTGGATTAAACTCTCTGTGCCTCATCTGCAAAATGAGGATAAGAATGGAGCTGTTAGAAGGATTAAATGTGGAGCTGTGAGTAAAGCACATGGAATAGTGTCTGGTACAATGTAAGTGGTTGAAAGGCATGAACTGAGCTAGAGGTGGGGCTCACGTGGTAGAGTGGTTACCTACAAACTCCAGCACCACTAAAGAATGGTTAGTCTTTGAAAGGCATGAGCTGTGCTTGTGCACATACTCGAGGCTAACATACAGTGACAGACTATTGAATCTCATCAGTTAACCATGAGATGGCCTAAAGGTAGAGCTGGTCAAGAGACACAGAACAGTCACCTCCTGTTATAATATACCACATTCTATCTGGTCTCTTTTCACACATTAAAATTTGGATTTCTGAAGATCTGTGTTACACTCATTTACATGGTGCTCTTTTTTTTTTTTTGAAATAGAAATGACAGCTATTCCTTACAATAAGGGCTTCATGCTTGCAATTTCTGGTGAAGAGTGCCTTCAGACATCCATAGGCTCACAGAACGTTTTGACAAGTTTGTATCATGGTAGGCAAAATAAGAGTTCTGCAGCTTACCAGTGACCTACCATCGTCCCTTGCACTGCATCCAGCCACCTGCTTTTTGTTTTGTTTTGTTTTTGGCAGTACTGGGATTGAATTCAGGGCTTTGGGTTTGCTAGGCAAGCACTCTGGGAGCCATGCCCTAGCCTCAGCCACCTGCTCTTGATGTTGCTCTCTCCTAAGGCATTAGGATTTGTGATTCCTGCCTTAGTAGGTTTGTTTTTGATTCTTTCCCTCTCTCTGCTGACTACCTCCCCTACCCTATCACCTCTATTGTTGTGTCTAGGAAAATGTTTTCACCCAAAAACAAGAGAACACTCATATTATGGTTCCTCTTTTTATTTCTGTGAGCAAATAAAACTTGGAAATGTAGGACTCCTATTGTCTTTTTTGGCATGACATCATGTACTTTAGAAGACTGAAGGTTCTGAAAATTCATGTAGAAAAATAAAGTAGAACAACACCCTTCTTTACTTTTTCCTTTGTATTTTTGAGACAGGGTCTTGCCATGAAGTTCAGACTGGCCTGGAACTTGTGCTTTTCCTGCCTTGGACTCCAGAATGCTGGGATTACAGGTATGCACCACCATGCCTGGTGAAAACCCTTTCTGATATCACTTACTCTACCATCTCCCAAACTTAATTCACCATAGAATACTCCCTTCCTTAAGATCTTCAGTGCTAATTTTCTGTAAAATTAGTTTTATAGATAATACATTTTGGGAAAACTTACTTTAAAGAATGGCAATGCCTGGTACAGAGGATTAGAACTGGACACTTTCAGCTGGGCAAGGTGGCTTACACCTAGACTCCTAGCTACT